TGCTCTCTTTTTTTTTCCCCCCGGGGGGGGTTAAATGTCTTTTTTTTTCCCCCCCCCCCCCCAATAACCCCCCTTTTTTTTTTTTTTTCTTCCAGGCCCCCACACCCCCGCCAAATGGGCCCCCGCCCGGGGGTTTTTTTTTTTTTTTTGGGGGGGCCCCCCGCGCACCAAATTCTTGGGGGCGGGGGCCCCCGGCGCTTTTCCCCCCCCTGAATAAGGCCGGCGGGGGGCCCGCCCCCCCCTTTTGTGCCCTTGTGGGGGCCCCCACCACCCCCCCCGGGGGAAGGTTCTTCACCCCCAAACACCCCACCCCCTCCCCCGGGGCCCCCCCTTTTTTTTTGGGCAGGGGGCGTCCCCCGCGGGGGGGGAAAAATCTTTTTTTGTTGGGGGGGGGGGGGGGTTCCGTCGTTTCCCCCTTCTTGGCGGTGTAAAAAACAAAAAACAAGGGGTGCTCTTTTTTCCGGCTGTTCTGCTGTAAAAGAAAAAGGGGGGGGGGGGGGGGGGCGGGGAGTTGGCTCGTCCCGTTGGTTCTGAATATTTTTGGGGGGAAGAGGATGGGCAAGCTTTCTTTTTTTTGGAAAACGGGCAACTTACGAGCACAGCAACTGCTTGGGAGGTTGGTGCCGTGTGCGGGTGTGCGTCGCGAGCACGCCCTTTTCGCCTGAGCGATGTACATACGTATTCGAGTCCTTTCTCCGCTACGTACCCCACTACGAAAAAATGACAGATATACACGAGGTAGTTCGGCGTCGACTGCGAACACCACATCGCTCGTGTTGGCGCTCGTGTGCAAGTATGCATCTTCTTGTGTGCTGAAGTGGACGTGCATCTTGTCGTGTGTTTCATTAAAGTAGCATGGACCGCGCCAACCGGCTGACCAATGGAAAGACGAGCGAGTAAGACGTCCGTGCCAGCGGCTACACCAAAGGTCGCTGGAAACGGGGGCCGAGATCTCAAAACTGCGCAACGCGCTGAATGCGAGTGCCAAAACGAACCTCGCTACATACATATCCTTGTGTGTATGTCTCGTTTCCGTTGCGTGCAAGGTACAGGTATCTGAACAGCCTCCTTGTTTGCGGGCGGTTTGCACGTGTTGTTTGCTCCGGTCGAATGGAAGACAGTGGACGGTAGCCGTACTGGGAAGTGATGTAGATAGAATAGATAGGCTAGGGAAACATGTTGGAGCCACCTTTTGGCAATAGTAGAAAGGAGCTATTGGCCATCGGTGATGGGTCCTGTGGGAACACTGCTCCGTCCTCTCGAGGACACGTGGTCAACGGTCTAACCGCTCAAAGGCATGCAAAACATGAGAGTACGCCCCCCCCCCCCCCCCCCCCCCCCTCCCCCTTTTTCCCCCCCCCCCTCCCTTTTTTTTTTTCCCCCCCCCCTTTTTTTTTTTTTTTTTCCCCCCCCTCCCCTTTTTT